TGGTCATATTATTGCTATCCTTGAGATAAGAAGTCATAGTGGACCTTTCACTGTGTTCCTCAAGATAGAGAGTCATAGTGGCCATTTAACTACGTTCATGGGATAGGGAGTCATAGTGGCCATTTCACTGCTATCCTTGAGATAGGGAGTCATAGTGGCCATTTCACTGCTATCTTCAAAATAGATAGTCATGGTGGTCATTTTATTGCTATCCTTGAGATAAGAAGTCATAGTGGCCCTTTCACAGTGTTCCTCAAGATAGAGAGTCATAGTGGCCATTTAACTACGTTCATGGGATAGGGAGTCATAGTGGCCATTTCACTGCTATCCTTGAGATAGGGAGTCATAGTGGCCATTTCACTGCTATCTTCAAAATAGATAGTCATGATGGTCATTTTATTGCTATCCTTGAGATAAGAAGTCATAGTGGCCCTTTCACTGTGTTCCTCAAGATAGAGAGTCATAGTGGCCATTTAACTACGTTCATGGGATAGGGAGTCATAGTGGCTATTTCACTGCGTTCCTTGAGATATGGAGTCATAGAGACCATTTCACTGCTATCCTCAAGATAGAGAGTCATAGTGGTCATTTTATTGCTATCCTTGAGAAAGATAGTCATAGTGGCCATTTCACTGCATTCCTTGAGATAAGAAGTCATAGTGGCCATTTCACTGCTATCCTTGAGATAGGGAGTCATAGTGGCCATTTCACTGCATTCCTCAAGATAAGAAGTCATAGTGGCCATTTCACTGCTATCCTCGAGATAGGGAGTCATAGTGGCCATTTCACTTCGTTCCTCAAGATAAGGAGTCATAGTGGCCATTTCACTGCTATCCTCGAGATAGGGAGTCATAGTGGCCATTTCACTTCGTTCCTAGAGATAGGGAGTCATAGTAGCCATTTCACTGCATTCCTTGAGGTAAGAACTCCTTGAGATAGTCATAGTGGCCATTTCACTGCGTTCCTCAAGATAGGAAGTCATAGAGACCATTTTACTGCTATCTTCAAAATAGATAGTCATAGTGGTCATTTTATTGCTATCCTTGAGATAATAAGTCATAGTGGCCATTTCACTGCTATCCTTGAGATAGGGAGTCATAGTGGCCATTTCACTGCGTTCCTCAAGATAAGAAGTCATAGTGGCCATTTCACTGCTATCCTCGAGATAGGGAGTCATAGTGGCCATTTCACTGCGTTCCTCAAGATAGGCAGTCATAGTGGCCATTTCCCTGCGTTCCTCAAGATAAGAAGTCATAGTGGCCATTTCACTGCTATCTTCGAGATAGGGAGTCATAGTGGCCATTTCACTGCTATCCTTGAGATAGGGAGTCATAGTGGCCATTTCACTGCGTTCCTTGAGATAGGGAGTCATAGTGGCCATTTCACTGCATTCCTTGAGGTAAGGACTCCTTGAGATAGTCATAGTGGCCATTTCACTGCGTTCCTCAAGATAGGAAGTCATAGAGGCCATTTTACTGCTATCTTCAAAATAGATAGTCATGGTGGTCATTTTATTGCTATCCTTGAGATAAGAAGTCATAGTGGCCCTTTCACTGTGTTCCTCAAGATAGACAGTCATAGTGGCCATTTAACTACGTTCATGGGATAGGGAGTCATAGTGGCCATTTCACTGCGTTCCTTGAGATATGGAGTCATAGAGACCATTTCACTGCTATCCTCAAGATAGAGAGTCATAGTGGCCATTTCACTGCGTTCTTCGAAATAGGGAGTCATAGTGGTCATTTTACTGTTATCCTCAAGATAGGGAGTCATGGAGGCCATTTTACTGTTATCCTCAAGATAGGGAGTCATAGTGGCCATTTCACTGCTATCCTTGAGGATAGGGAGTCATAGTGGCCATTTCACTGCGTTCTTCGAAATAGGGAGTCATAGTGGCCATTTTACTGTTATCCTCAAGATAGGGAGTCATGGAGGCCATTTTACTGCTATCCTCAAGATAGGGAGTCATAGTGGCCATTTCACTGTGTTCCTCAAGATAGGGAGTCATAGTGGCCATTTCATTTTCATTTAAAAATAGGGAGTCATATTGACTATTTCACTGTGTTTAATGTCTAGATGTCTTAGCAGAATTATGTGAAGCATAACAAAAATAAGCAGATTGATGAGGCAGACGTTCTAGGAATGCAAGATGTTCTAGGTTTACATGACTTACTTGATAGCAGATTCATTACATCTACACACAACATCCCCCCATACATTGGGACCACCTCGTGCACTGGTACTAGCTCTATTACTGTTGTTATTACTAATACCATGGCTTGGTTGATTGCCATCAGCTGTCGGTTCTGCCCACAGAAAAAAATTACAACCACCACCATCACATTTATAGAATTGACGACCTAAAAGTCAAGTAAAAAAAATTTAATTTGATCATTTGTATTCCAGTATCAGGTTGCCAAGTTACCTGCTTATGCAAATAACAATTTTGTGTATTAATCTTAACCCAATACCATGCAATAACGACAAGGGCCATACTTCAATTTTCAGTACCATGCATAATTACTGATCAGAGATTTTAAAAACATATCAGTTTCATTGCTTGCCTTTTGATATTTGGGTCACATTTTTTCTGAGAGCCAAAAAGTACTTTATAGGGCCTAATTTCTGATGCTAAATAAATGTAAGCTGAAATAAAACTCAGCTAATACAATACAATACAATACAATACAATACAATACAAGACAGGTCACCCTTGGGCAAGGTGTAGTATCTGTTAGCCTTGGGTGCCAACTTCCCACATAATAAGTTTGGTTGACGTCAGTAAGGGCATACGGTCATAAAAGCCTTGCACCAACTCAGCCTCACGTGTGAGGTATTACCTATTAAAGGCAACGTTTAGGTTTATTTAAATATGTATATATGTGTCCTGGGCAAGATTTTAAACTACATCCGGTTGTGGAGTCTATGGACTTGGGAGAATGAGGTTACCCTTTGCCACAACTACCTCCAGGTCACCCTTGGGCAAGGTGCAGCACCTGTGAGCCTTGGGTGCCAACTTCCCATATAACAAGTTTGGTTGACATCAGTAAAGGCACACGGTCGTAAAACTCCTGCACAAACAGATCCGCATAGGTGGAAAATTTTCATGTAAATATGTATATATTAGTTTCAGTTGTTCTTAGCATTTGGCAGGGGGGATCGTAACCTCTTGTGGTGAGAACCAGTGTGACTGGCCTGCCAACGGGGTGCTAAGGATTTCATTAAAAAAGTTATCAGTTACATCCGTTAATGTAATTTCGTCTTACATACCCGTAAATCAAAAATCACAATACAATACAATACAAAACAATACAATACAATACAATACAATACAATACAATACAATACAATACAATACAATACAATACAATGCATGTACTTTTTCCTTCACAAATTTCAAACTTCATGTATGTAGAAAGTTTGAATGTGATTGGTCAAAGCATGTCTAAGATATGGCTTCAAAACAGCATTGATTAAAAAAAACAGCTACTAGATGGTCAACCTGAATTGGATTATAAAACAAATGAACATGCAAACAACTTTGAACAAGTTCAGAGTATAACTTGATGTACTATTACAAAATATGTTGTTCTATCTCTGTTATGTCAAACACTATGTAAAATATCTGATTTAGTTATCATTAACAACTGAAACATGTACTTAGATTTTGATACTAGACAGGTATATAACTATAAAAAACTCACCACAGTTAGGACCTTCTTTCCTTACAGTTAATATAATTGCATCATTACCACAATTACATACTATGGCATTACCATCAGAGGAGTTAGCATTCCCTGTAAATCTATAGAAACATGGCTTGTATAAGTAGTATACATGTATTATAACAAGGTTTGTTATTTTGATGAATATTTAGCACTATAAAAATGGCTACAATCTTCAACAGGATCAAAAAATGTATATACATTCAGATGTATCTCAAGATGTATATGTGAAATTTGAAAGTTCAAGAATGTTTGAGCTATGGCGCCATCATTTATATGAATATATGATTTATATGATTTCTAAAACAAAGGCCACAATTAAGGTACATAATATCCAATATATGTTTAATGCATGAGCAAGATTTGATGAATTTTTAGCAGTAATATTACTGCTATTCGTGGGATAATAAACACAGGCATAATAAAACATTAACTCACTGCACAAGTAAGCCTGAAAAATAATGGCAGGGCTTTATAATCCAACATCTACATGCCTTCAAAAATCAAAATACCAAATTATTACTATCATCTAAGGCATTTTTATCTTCGATGCCTATAATTTGGGACATTGTGTGTCTGGGAATGACAAGTCATTTTAGTTGAACCAACGAGGGCAGAGAAAGCAAAATCACAAGTTTCATCTTTAATGGGCAGTGAGCTGCAATTATTGCTGTATTTTTAGTATAAGATCAGATTTATCTGGATAATGATAATTTATTAATTGGCAATATTTTTAATACAGTGTGTCATTCATTCTATGTTTTAAGGAGTGGTAGTTGTTGTTTTTGCTACGTTAATGTACGTTCATCAGCAGATAGTTTGCAAATTTTTCCATTTTTGGGAGCCTGCTGAGAATCATGTTTTAAGCAACCCCCTAGTATCAATGAATAGTCTCAGCAGCAGTTACTCAGTTTTGACAAATAAAGTACCATTATCAAATGTTTATGTTGAGTTACAAACAACATGAAATGCACTTTGTTTCACTGGAAGGGTATTGTGAAATTGCAAGAAATATAAAAATAGGTGCAAGTAGAGATATGTTTGCCATTCTGCCAATGAAATATGTTTTCAAAGGTTGTTGTTTGCTTGGTCCATTAATTCAAATATGCTTTCTCTGATTCACTGCTTCAAACAGAGAGAAAACATTCCAAAGTTGCATGTGTTTATATACAAGAAACATAGAATTAATAATTAATCTTTTCACCTGGAATTGACAGAAACCAGTGGTTGTCTATTTAGATCACTACCACTGCCACCATCTCTAGGTCCTTTATTTCCTCTTCCTCTTCCTCCTCTTGAGGCACCTCCTCTTCCTCCTCTTTCTCGCCTTAAAGCATCCATCAATCCCGATGTTCTCAATGAGGTATTACTGGATGTAGAGCCACTGTTATAACCAGAATCATGAGGAGCAGGATTTGGTCTTGTAGATGGTCGGTTTCTGCTAGATGAATTGGATCGTGAAGATTGTCCTAATGATGGGTAAATGTTTTTATGTGTTACATTGCTGAAACATTTGGCAATAATTTCTGGAATAACAAGTCATTGTAAATGACATAGTCCAGCCAATAATTTAAGTGCCCTGACATTTTGCCAATTTTAATTTCTTACTATGTCTATATCTGTTTTTTCTCTGGCATGCAATGCCCAATTAGGTTCAAACTTGGTACACTGACCTTTTTTCATAAGATACATAAAGGCATCTACCCGGTAATTCTGTTTTATAATCTGATCAAATAAAGCTTACTGGAGCCACTTAAATTCCCTAACCCATTATACAATGGTTAAATATTAAAATATGACCAGTAAGCAACCAAATCCCAAAAGATGACTGGACAAATTTCAGTCAAACTTATATCATGACAAAACTTAAAGTGATTGCAGGTGCACATTTGTTCTGAGATCAGATTTGTGTTGGTCGCCATTTTGTTTTTTTATTAACTGTTTCACTGGATCAACGTTACTGAGACAAAAGATTACCTTAAGTTCAATTTCTCGAATCAGTAACATCAGGCAAATTTTTGGTTATGCAACAGATTTGAACCAAATTCATCAAAGATTCAAGATGTTCAATGTTTGAACCACATTTGAAAATGCATGACTGAGATCTGATTTTGAAATACCAGAAATGCTTGTATTTGATGTTTTTTATTAATACATGTTGAACTAAAATGGCCATCTTGAATCAGATCATCAAATGAGTACATGTGCATATGTATAACATGATGTATGTTGTATGTGTGTATGATGTTTTAACATAATTTGTCCAGGCATGTCAAACATATGGCTCCAGAACTGCATTTATTAACAAAATGGCCACCAGTCAGCCATTTTGAATATAATCTGTAAATCAATTGATTAAATCAAGATTGTTCAATGTAAAATACAATGCAATAAGAATGAATAAAATCTAAACATGCATGACCAAAATCTAGTTTCGGAATGACAGAAATGTTTGATTTGGATGCATTTTTAGCACTAAAATGGCCACCATTCAGCTTACTTAAAATTAGGTTGTAAAACAAATGCATGTGCATAAGTGTGACATGATATACGATACAAGTATGAAAACTAAACATGATTGGTCTGCGCATGTATGAGATCAATCTATAATTTACCGTTTTCGGACTTCTTATGAATAGAGACTAAAAAAAGCAATATTAAGTTTACCAAAATATCTTGAAACATACCAGTTTGGTGATCTGTTCTGAGATATGAAAGATTAAAATCCAGTTCTTCTGTTAAAGTACGGTCACAACCACCAATACAACCGACGTATCTAATAATAAATTAAGTCATACATGGAATGTGTGAAAACATATTGTCCCCATATTGTATTATGGCTAACCCATTGTATGAAAACATATTGTCCCCATATTGTATAATGGGTTAGGGAATGTATGAAAACATATTGTCCCCATATTGTATAATGAGTTAGGGAATGTATGAAAACATATTGTCCCCATATTGTATAATGGGTCAGGGAATGTGTGAAAACATATTGTCCCCATATTGTATAATGGCTAACCCATTGTATGAAAACATATTGTCCCCATATTGTATAATGGGTTAGGGAATGTGTGAAAACATATTGTCCCCATATTGTATAATGAGTTAGGGAATGTATGAAAACATATTGTCCCCATATTGTATAATGGGTCAGGGAATGTGTGAAAACATATTGTCCCCATATTGTATAATGGCTAACCCATTGTATGAAAACATATTGTCCCCATATTGTATAATGAGTTAGGGAATGTGTGAAAACATATTGTCCCCATATTGTATAATGGGTTAGGGAATGTGTGAAAACATATTGTCCCCATATTGTATAATGGGTTAGGGAATGTGTGAAAACATATTGTCCCCATATTGTATAATGAGTTAGGGAATGTGTGAAAACATATTGTCCCCATATTGTATAATGTGTTAGGGAATGTGTGAAAACATATCCCCCCCCCTTATTGTATAATGCACTGAGGAATGTGTGAAAACATATTGCCCCCATATTGTATAATGCATTGGGGAATGTGTGAAAACATATTGCCCCCATATTGTATAATGCATTGGGGAATGTGTGAAAACACATTGCCCCATAATTGTATAATGGGTTAGGGAATGTATAAAAACATATTGCAATGACATAGTACTCGTCATGTTTATGGTGACTTTGTCAAACAATAAGGAGCATAGTCAAATTATGTTTAAATATTGGAATAGTATTTAGCATATCAACTACAAATGTTTGAATGAAATTGGTCAAGTCAATGCTAAGTTTGAATGACATTGGGGAAGGCATGTCCAAGAAACAGTTGATGACATTTCCAAATGTTGGAGGGGGGGCAAAAATGGCCACAAGTCGGTCAAAGGTAACCAAATAAAAAATAAATCAATGAGCACATGTCTCCCATTATTACTTGTATTTGTACCAGATTTGAAGAAAACCTGTTAGGCATCTTTGAGAAATAATAACAGATTCATGGACGGACAGATGGACGGAAACTTAAATGAGCGTGAACTTCCCCGATCATAAGCCCCTCCTGGAGTATAAGCCCACCCCTCTACTTTAAACATTCAACGAGTTGAGAGTAACCTCCGAGCGTTGACGACATTTATTAAAATCTGTGTGTGAAAAGTGTGTTTTATTGCATAAAAATTGTGATTGGTACGGTAGTTGGGTTTGTGCTTTTATGAGAAAACTTGCATGGCGACTGTACACAACATGGTTCACAACCTTTCTAATCTGTTATTTCTACAGGATGAACCCTGATGTTGCAATACTGGAGTAATACATATCGCTCTAAGTAGTAGCTTTCAAACCACCAAAAATGTCAAGTCATAAAACCTGGTCGTTGGACATCATTTTACTGTTCCTAATAATTGTGTCCATGGAGACTATTATGAATGGGGTGTGAACAAGTAAACTATTTGTGAAAGGTGTTTCAAATATTTTCTCCACACAGCAGATTGCATTTTAATATCACAGTAATTCACTGTAGCATTGAGTTAAAAAAAATTACATCATCAATATTTAGAAAATTTTGTCAGTACAACACAGCGTTTTGTTTGGTTTATAATGAAAGACTTGACCTGTTAGGTCAAAGGATGTTGTTTCAGGTCTAATCATGCTGAAACTTCATAGTGGAAATTGCTTTGCATCGAAAGTTTGCATATGAATGAAAAATATCCCACAATGAAGAAAATTTGACTGTTTTCCCACAGACCTCACCCATTTTTACACCTAAATTCAGATGGTATGTAAATCAGATTGTAATAAAATGTGTATATTTTTATGAACATGTTTGTTTCTACATTGTAAAAGTGTAGAGGAAATCAACAATGACTTGTTTTGCATTACTTGGGAGTGGTAAACTGGTTACAATGTTAAACCAAAAAAATATCTACTTTAGTACATTGGTTCATAGTCAGTTTATGTACAACTGGTACTTTGGTGCAAAATGAGCATACATGTATGCGCAACTGGAACATTGGTGACATGGGAAGTATGTGTTAAGATAATTAAAAGCAAGACACTTACTCCAAAGGAAAGCCTGGTGGAACACTTCCTCGCTTGAATTTAAATTTAATTTTCTGTATAGGACCCGGACAACACTGTAACAGGTTAAAAGCAAAGAAATTGTATTTTTATATATATAATAATTTAGAAGTTTTATTGCATCTTTAGAAATAACATTTCTATCAGTGAACAAGTCATTGTCAATGACACGTCCCCGTTCCGTTTGAGTGACATATACATTCAAAGCAGATCATGACCGAAATCTCGGACCACTTTCAGTGGTCTGATCCGAAATGCACCTGCATATGTACAACACATTGTACTAAAACTGAACAAAATCCATCCATGCATGACTGAGATCCGGTTCCGGAATTGTGTTAATAGGTGATTTTGATGCATTTTCGGCATTAAAATGGCCATCATTCAG